AATTCTGGGAGTTGAAGTCCACGCATCTTAAAGTTGCCAAGGTTGAGAAACACTGCTCTAAGAGCTCAGAGCAGTGCACAGTGGAAACTGTCCTCATTTTCTCCTCATGACAGAACTGTGCAGTTGGTTGGGCTGAAAGACAGTGAGTTCCACTGTGAAAGAGAAGCTATAGAAGAGAACAGAGCTTGTCACCTATACATGACTGAAACATGTTTTTAAAGCCATGCCTACTTTGGCTTTATCTCTTTATGAGTCAGTTTCAAATGTAAAACATTTTTGTATATTTTGCTTTTACTTATGAAAGTTAACCTCCTATTCAGTCCAAGAACCATGTCCTATTTTAGGTTAGGAAACTGGAACCCAATCACACAAGGTTGTCTACATAAATTTGCCTCTTTGTTCTCCATGAAATATAAACAACCATTTTAATTGTTGCAAATTAAACCCTGCCATTAATCTTCTCTTCCACAGCTCCTTTCATCTCTAAACCTGCAAAAGAGAATGACTGCAGAAAGGTTCATGTACCCATTCTTTATGTCCTGGTAGCCATATCCTTTGCCATGTGGATTACTCTCTTCTTATTGGTCCTGGAGAAAAGTAAGTGATTCCTCAGTGTCAATGGTATTGTCAGGAATTCCAGGGATGAGAACTGAGAATGTGTAACTGTGAAGAAATCCTTGAACAGTCAGCTACCATAAATGTAAATTTTAGCTTCTCCATGGGCTGTCCATTGGATCTCCTCAACAGGAAGAGATGTAAAATATTTATACCCAGGCAGCCAGATGGTCTCTTAATCAGGTTTGCTCCTTAAAACTACTGCTAGTGACTAATTCTTGACTTCCACCTGCTCACTCCCCAGCTCCAACTCTCTCCACTGTTTCTAAAATATCTGATTAAAAATGCGGATTTTCAAGAGTTCATTGGTTTTCAGCTGGAAAAAAAAATACTTTCTACTGGCAAAAATGCTCTCTTCCCAGTCAGTGAGAAATATTCCATCCTTCCAGTCACCTAATATCTGCCACTTTCTGCTGAATCAGCTTTTCCAGCTCCCAGAATTCTCCATCAGCTCAGCATTTGGGGAGTTGCAGGCCCCACATTATCTGTAAAGTGCCAGACTGGAGGAGGCAGAAGTTCGGTATAGTGATAATTAGACTCTCAGATGATCCACGAGGGGACTGCAATTCAAAGCAGGGTTTTTGTTTTCCTTTATTTTTACAAAGCAATAAAACAAACAAAATACAAAAACAAGCATGGAATTTTGTACAAATACTTATGCATGTTAAATACCACTGAACAATGAAAGACGTCCTTTGGTTTTCTAATGTTTTGCAATAATAAATCTAAAGTTAATAAGAGCTGAATCAAGATTTTATGCCGCCTCAATTTATATAAATTAGGAAATACAGTCAACCAACCTCAGAATTTGGGCGATTTTCCCAATTCTACAAGGAAAAATTGATTGTGGATTGTTGCCTTGTAGTAGTGAAGGGGCTTGCATATCCCTGTGACATTTTGAGCTTTAGCACTGGAAATTATAAAGCTCCTTACGGCAGCAAGGGTCTCAGCGTATGCGTGGGGGGGGTTATTGGAAAGAAAAAGAGATTAGGTCGCAACATCCTGAATATGTGTACCTTGGCCCTAATTTATCAGTGAGCGTGTTAAGACAAGGCCTCCCTATTGCCTCTGATCCTTCTTTTAACTAAGCCTTGGTTTAATGGGGAAGATGCTAGCCAATTGCTTCATACCAAAAAAAAAGAAAAAAAAAGTGTCCACTTATTCTGTGGTATTTTGGAAACGACCATTTTTATTCCCAAGCTCAAAGAATGCCATCACAAGATTATACATCCTCAGAAGTGTAACCCATGAAAGGCATGTCACACAAGAGAAGCCAGATTAAATACAATCCTGTGACAAGCAAGTAACCCATATTCTGCCCCAAAAAAACCCAAATGGACATCACAACAAGGATAATAATGTCAGCATGATCCTGACAGATATTTCCCCAAGTTGGAAGGTATCCAGTAAGCTACTGGGGAAGAACAGCAGGAGGTATAAGTAGCATCACTGACTATGATGTGGCTAGATTAAAGTTGGAAAGGTATCCAGCTGCTGCTATGGCCAGAGGCAAAAGGAAATTCAATGGCGCAAAGCTATGTACAGCACCGGCACTTGATACAACAGATCCACGAACTAAGGTAAACTTGATGTTGTCACAGCCGAAATGTCACAACCAAACATTGGCATTCCGGTAACCAACAAACCCAAATGGACTTGAATGGGTTACTTCACATCAGAAGGGCATCTGATCTTCTACTGTAAAGGGGAAAAAACATAGAAAAAATGGAATAAGTATCATAATTATTAAAGGAGTATCAAGTCAATGTGCAGATACAACCCCAAAAATAACAGAATGATCTCAGGTCCAAGACAATCTGATTTTTGTTCTCTGTCTGGTGATAACCATAAATATAGGTATCATTTCAGTTGTAGGAAGACTGTATTAACAATGAAGAAAGCATTGGAATGGCAATAAAATTATAAGTTCTTTTCCTGCTTCATTGGTTTCCTAGGCCACACAGTCCAATGACATTTTCCTCCTTACTATTTCCAACTTTGGCATTCCAGTGTCCGACCACAAGCAGCATGTCCTGTCAGTTTCAGATTGACCTTGACCATAAAACTGATCAACCTCTTCTTCTTCTGCTTCAGCGGTTGGAGCATGAACTTGGAGGATTGTTGTATTAAATGGTTGTTATTATCCAAGCATTGATTGCATTGTACAAAGTACTGTCCTTGCTATGACTGTGAAAGCAACATCATGCCTAGCTTGTTTTTCATGCCCTGGGTAGTAAAATTATGATTTTCTGACTGAAAGTGTCCAATTCCAGTCAATTTTAGTTTGCTGATGACTAAGAAGTCAACGTGTAGTCAATTCATTTCATTTTTCAGTGGGCTGAACTTTCCCACGCACATACTTCTTATGTTCAGTGTTCGCCTAGTAATCCTGTTTTTGCAGCTTTGGATTTTCTTTTCCTGCATCAGCAAATAGATGCCCAAAGACTTTGACTGAGCCACACTGTAACACTCCAAAAGATCCTCAGCTCTTCCTCAGTAGCAAGTTGATTGCCATCCAACCTGAGTGGCCAATCATCCAGCACTATAATGTCAATCACTTTATATTGTCTATCCATTTTTTTTTCTTGGTTAGATACAGGAGCGGTTTACCATTGAGATCTCCTGCACAATATGAAACAATATCTTTATCTTGTTACTAAAGTGATTATCTTTTTCCAGCATTTCCCAATATTGCTCCTGCCCGATATAGGTGCCTGTCTTGCTTAACTGGGTAACTGGAATGACTTTCATGCCTTGGGTGACCCTGCTGGGATTGTATACTCTTCACATACAGTCCCATTTTTTTTCTCATAAGAACTTTATTATATTATATTAAGAATACAATTAAGAACAAAAAATAGAATACAGTGAAGATAGAAAATAGAACTAAAAGAAAAAAGAGAAAAACTAAAATAGTGAAGATAGAACAGAAGGCGACTTCCGACTATCTCCCATACAGATATAAATACAAATTTAAAAAAAGTTAATCTCTTACCA